CTAGTTCTGTATCAATATTGCTTTTATCTGAGACAATTCAACGAATAAGATAATCAGACTTCCCTTCTAGCTGTTAATCCTTGCAATTTTTTATACATTTTCAAAAGAGCAAGCAATCAAAACAATCGGGATGTTTAGAAGAACAGGTTCAAGAGGAACTCAAGAAACTAACGTCATGTCAGTAATGTGAAAAATAAAGCTTGAAAAGAAAATAAATTTATTAGTAGTCAAGGAAAAATTCTGTTCTGAAGAGACATGACTCAATGTTCCAGTATTTCTTCCGATTCTTAAAAGAATCTATCTGATAGGAAGTATGAAACCAGAAGATACTTTGGGAATTTCCTTTTTAGAAAGCAAACCATTGATGTTTAAGGTGAATGGAAAATGATGATCTATCATTGTGGATTCTGTGAAAGCTTCTAACTTCACAATTTGTGTAAAGAATAGTTCTATTATCAAAGAACATACATAAATTTACTACGAACCTCAACTCATGCGTTATCTGTAATGACTAAACGCTTCTATAGTCTGCAAACGGAAAGGCGTCGGAAGCGTATATGACAGCTGTTAGTTGTGTCTGATGTTAACATTAATCTATCAATAACTAAAATCGTGACTAAGAGCATACAATCACAATTGATTGATCGCTGGGTGGCGATCAATGTCATGCGTGTCTAGTCCTTATTAGTGCAGATCGAATGCTATCGACCAAGTTGCAATGTGGCCACCAATCTAGGTGACTCGACACTATAGGCACTATACATTGAGATTAGATGGTGGTTGGAGGTAGTCGCCAGGAAACCATGAACCCGGGTTTCTTGCTACTTGGCACTCGTCAGAAGGGTGTACCTGTAATCTTGAGGGAACTGGTGCTCTCTGAAGGATTCGATCTCGTGTCACCCAGCTTCAAACATGGAAGCTGTTGAGATTAAACAAAGATTTAAGCGATATAAAAGGAGACTGTAAGCTGGACATTAACACCGTGGGATGCCGGTCGGCTCAGTGGTCTATAGGTTAAGTGTTCGCATGCGAGACTAATAGGTCCTGGGTTTGAATCTCACGAGGCGGGACCGTGGGCGCTCACTGCTGAGTCCCATACTAGGACGAAACGGCCGTCCAGTGCTTCCTGGCTTTCCATTCGTGATCTAGCTTCAATTGACTCATGGATTCAACCATTGAATTAGAGAAAGTTATTAACTTGTATTAGTAACTTCACACTAAGTTGCGAAATACCAGAAATTCGATTTTCTTCTCAATTTGGTATTTTACAAACGCATTATTGACTTATTATTATGAATAATCTACCCAATACTCAAATTAGAAAATGGTTAGTGTTTATCCTCTGATACTGATGATTTGATCCTGAAGCGTTGATTGTCAACCTCAACAACATCATCACATATATCGATGAGCTACTAGGATTTCTCCCCTATCGACTAGCTGCTTGTTCATTTGACCTAGAATTTGGTTAGTTGTTGTCTATTGGTGTGAGATAGTTGTTCGTATGTTTGTTTAGACCGTTTTCACTTCTGACCTGATCTCTGACCTTAGAATTATTTACTCTTTTTCCTGGTTAGTTGACCTACTGGGTCAGATTTTATGATGCATTACTAGAGTACCTGATTCCAAAAACGTTCTCTAGCATTCTATGTGTTTCCTCTGTCCAATACTTCGACATTTCATCAGTTGAAGTCATATCAATGGTTGTTATGCATTTATAAGCTTTCATTTAACCTATTGGCTACCATTATACGATTTACTATTAATTTATTCCCAACCTATCAGTTACAGTCTCTCATAATCACTAACACTTCTAGCTTGATCTTGTATACATGTTACTTCTTATTTTATGGCATGATGATGTCTGGCTTACTTGTATATGAACTGCGTATGTCTGAAACTCATGATTCATACAACGGAGGCTAAGATTTTGTTCTGGACTCATCGGGCAGGGGAAGGCATGAAGAAATAATAAATACTCATAGTTGACTCTAGGCTGCCCGTATTGGTTAACGCGTCATTGCATTGGCACGATGCTAAAGTCATATAAGTCATGTCTTGTCACGTGGTAAATAACAGGGCGACAGCTTTGTCTTATGCAGCACTCAGTCATCGGAATTTATTTTGTAGATGATGTTTGGTTTGTTGTTATGTGCTTTGTACCTTCGAAGTGCAAAGCACTTCTACAAGACTGGCAGGATTCCAATCCTGTACTCACCCTGGATGGTGAGCAGATAGACGTAGTTGAGAAGTTCGTGTATCTGGGTAGCTGCATGAGTGCTGGTGGTGGCGTGAGTGATAAGATCGATTCACGTATAGTGAAAGCCAGAGTGGCGTATGCCAATCTAGGCCATCTTCAGCGCCTTCGTGATGTTAGTCTGGCTGTAAAAGGTCGGATCTACAACGCGTCGTTAAGAGCAGTTTTACTCTATGCTTGTGAAACCTGGCCTCTCCGAGTTGAGGACGTTAGACGACTCCCTGTGTCCGATCATCACTGTCTCCGAAGGATTGCTGACATTCAATGGCAACACCATGTCAGTAATGCAGAGGTTCGGCATCGTGTGTTCGGGCACAGAAATGATAATTCAATTGGTGTCGCCATCTTGAAACACCGACTTCGGTGGCTTGGACATGTTCTACGAATGTCGTCCCAGAGAATTCCACGTCGTGCATTATTTGCCGATGTTGGGACTGGTTGGTAAAAGCTAGGAGGTGGTCAGTGTACGATATAGCGTCGTGGTATGAAAGAAAACTGCAAAGGACGGGCTTCTGTTGGTCCTTCACGACTCCTTGTCTGAAGTCTTAGAGATGGTGCAACACAGTGGCTAGAGACGTTATCAGATATGGCTCAGAATAGAAGCCAGTGGCGATCCTGCTGTAACCTTCTTTTACTTTCTTCATAAAAAGTTGTTATGTCTCCCTTACCTGAAAGATTTCTTCTGATTGTACCTCGTTACTACCACACTACCTTACACCAATCTCTTCGTTATTGTTCTCTTTTTCTTTTGCGCTCCTTAGTTTTTTTCTATTTCTCTTCGCATTCTCATTGTTTTGTGTGGCGCATATATATTGGCGCTCTCTTGTACCAATATTCATGTGTTCAAATAAATAAATAAATACAGTAGTGATCCCTTATCGTAAAGGAACTTCATAGGAGTCCCATGTCATCATAAAATAAGATTATTCTTACGAACAAGCAATGCTCTAAGCCCTAAACTAGTAAGAATCAAAGATTAAATACAGAGGGAGGAACAGCAAAAGTGTGTATATGAGATCAAATATAGTGACTGTAATGCCCTATATGTAAGTGAGACATTATAACAGCTGAATGTGAATGAACACAAACGTTGCTTAAAGAATATTCCTTACTATTCAAAAGATCTGAAAAACAAACTAGGAAATAAGTCAGCAACTGTATTGCATTCAATAGAGTCCGGCCATACAACTGATTTCAATGGCACAAAAATCCTACCGAAAGATTTTAGTTCGTAAAAGTACCGAGACTAACAGCTGAAGCTCTTATTTATCTATTTTAACACATAGATATTGGTACAAGGAGGCACCAAATACATATACGCCACACAAATTTTATTTGATATGTGTGAGGGCTGTGATACTGCCCGGGTGCCCAAACTGAAGCAGGTGGTTTTCTCAGGAGGCCACACTCGGAGCCTTCGACATGAAGGTCTGATCCACAAGGCAGTGGAGCAATCTAAGGGAATGCAGCCTCATGGTAGCCGGTGACCAACGATTGGCTCATACGCCATTTGTCCCTTCAGGATACTGGAGCCCATGTGCACCATTGGTTTGCAATCAGAGTTTTCCAACTCTCCTATGTGGACTCTCCGTGTCCACTAACCCGGTTAAAGCTCCGGAAATTCACTTTTCGTCCTCTCAGTTTCGTAAACAACACCCCCGCCACGAGAAGGCAGTGAGTAGGAATTCCCTGGCAGAGGCTATATACGCGTGGCCATGTGAGAGCATTTCGAGAGGGAGAAGTGACTCTCCCCACACTCGGCCATACCAGGGCATTTGGGGGAAATCCAAACAGTGTTAATAAGAGAGATGAAATACAATTAACTATCGTACGGCAACTAATAATTAACAAGTAAACTTAAACTTCTTTCTATATTTTATTGTATTTAATCAATCATTTATTGTGAGGACAACGATTATCTTAACTAGTTCTAACAAGTTAGTTTAACTTGAATATATGATGAACTGTTGGGTATGTTAGATCCCCAGAATTCACTTGGTAAATACCCTTATTTTGTAATTTTTTATTACTTTGTTTTCGTACCAAAAGCGCTCATTTTCACCTTCATGTTGTATTTCTCACTTGAGAGAATCTTAAACGCTATTATAGCTCGTTGTATCTTTTAGTAGGTTATTTTGTAACGTTTACCAAGGACAATTTTATGCTATATATATACGTTTGATTTGTACCTTTTGTTATTGTTCGTGCTTCTGGATACTTACGGAATATATTTTCCCGTTTCGAACTTAAACTTCTCTCTCTAGTTAGCGGTGCTGGCTAGCTTATTGGTGTTTGGTCACAGAGTCTTTGTTCCATTCGCAGACTAGGTGAACTCGTAATCGCTTCAAACGTAGCATGAACAATCAACTTGATCACCATAATAACACAAACATTTATTTTTGTTTATTTTCAGTTATTTTATGGATGCGTTGACATATTTAATTTATATTATCTATCAAATTATCTGATTTTATCAAGGACATCTTATTATATCTCCTTGAAAAAGTTTGAACCAGAATACTAAAACATCATCCATATCCACCAATACGGTTAAAGCGCCGAGCATTCGCTCCTCATCGTCTGAATTTCGTAAACAACACTCCCGCCGCGAGAAAAGAGTGAGTAGGAATTCCCTATCACTGACTATATACGTGTAGCATTTCGAGAGGGGAAGCTAACTCTTCCCACTCTCGGTTGTATCACAGCATTTGGGGAATTTAGAAAGATACCAACCTAGATAACATTGAGAAACAATTCATTTTGTATTCTTTTTAAAGTCGATCAAACTTTACAAAGTAGAAATATTAAGTACAGTCTAAGAATTACTACAGTAAGGAAAAAAAAAGAAAGAAAAGAAGCATAAATCGATGACAAAATGGTGAAGGTCAAATGTTTAAAAAACAATTCGATTAAGAAGTGGACCCACCTATTTACTCAATTTCAAGCCTACTAGATGGAATGTTTGTATGTATTCTTTTTTTCTTAAATATTACAACGAGTGATGTAAATAGAGAGAGGGATAAGCAAATAGAGGCAAAGGGAGGGTAGAAAAGAAAAACATTAAATCAATACAAATACATGAGGAACAAAGGTTATACACAAAGGTCACAATTGTTTTCAATGTCTTTCTATTTCAAAGGAACTGACACAAACAGGGGAATTGTCGAAAGATTCGCTTTCAATTAAATTCTTCATTCAATAGTAATTCATGTATTACAATAATAGTAAGAGATAAAGAGATCGTTGTCATATTAAATGATGAATAACTATTTGTCGATATGTTTATTTGGTCTTTTTATCACAAACAATTCGATGACAACTATCATCTTCAACATCATCACTATGATCATTATGTACACGCATATCAATACGATTAATAGTATTATCAACAGTGACAGTATCCTCAAAACTTGTAACATTGTTTGGATTGTTAGTATTACTACTACTACTACTACTACTACAACTACTACTAGTAGTATGATTATCTTTGTGATTACTAATATGTCCAGTATGCTTTTTGGTAGACTGTTGCTTGAAACATTTAATAGATTTGATAGAAGTTGCGGAAGACGATGATAAACCACCACGAGTTGTATTGGCAGACTGAAAGAAAATGAAATAAAATATTTTAAAAATTAAAGAAAATTAACCATATAATTGAAAGATGTGTAAACTGGGGTTAGATTATGATGTTAACATTTTTAATGTTCATCCACTGTGCCATATGTATCTGTATTGGCTTGGACAACTGTGGGACGTAAGGGCATATGTCAAATTGCTTTAGGCTGAATTTGTTCTTGACAATTGACTAAAGTGCCTAGTATTAGTAAACTGAATAATGACTACAAAAATCATATGAATATACATCACTCATCCTCGAACCAAGGAAAAAGTGTATAAGCTAAAACTTTGACTGAGTGTACAATTGAGTTCATCCAACATGATTCCTTGTTTATCATCTCTCATCTACCATTTGACCTTAAGATGTTATGTAGAGACAAGTCAATACGAGATCCAAACAGCTGTAGATACAGTAATGTTTTTTTGTCACTGAATTAAACAAAAAGGTTAAGAAAGATTAGTGAACATTGGTAGCATCTACTGAGTTGATAGATGCTTGGTAACTCATCCAGTAAGGCTTGGAGAATAATAAAGAATGACGACAATGTGAACTGATAAAAAGTCTACCTAATGACTATGACCTGTGTAGGGCAGCGACAGCAAAAGGAATGAGAAAGACAGCGGCGATACATAACACAAGACCACTATTCCGGCTTATTAAGGAAATAGGCAATAACGACACAAATGTTAACAAGACTATATTCGAAAAAGATGAGACGGTGATACACTTTCAATCTAAGAGATTAAAAGGGATGAATGGAGTACTTTAGAGAATACTTTAACCGATACACAGAGGATAGTGATGGATTAACACCGGTGACCTTGGTTTTGATTCCTGACTATCCCAGTTTATAAGAAAGAACTGAAAACTTCTAACGATTACCACAGATAAGTCAGTTTGACTGAGTTTCTAAAATACTAACCTAACTCATGAAGAGTGAACTCAAGGAAATCAGGGACGTTCAAGAACTGAATGTATGTGTATTGACCAAATAATCACTTCCGTCAGATTTTTGAACATTGGCATAAATATCGACATCCAAAACAGTTGTATTTCTTGACTTTGGGGCAACATTCGACTCCGTTGATCGAGAGGCTAATATGAAAATGGTTATCATTAAAAAGTATGCTGAAGAACTCTGTGAATACTTTCTCCCTGAAAATATGAAATATATCAATCAGCCTATTATGTATGTAGTGGGTAATTAAACTGTAAAGTGTAAAACATCGCCTGGCAAGAGTTGTTTCACAGCTTCTTTATAATTTCAAATTGAGTCAATTGTTCTACTAGAGTTGAAAAGTTCATCAATTGAGAATAGAGATTAAAAAACTCAAACAACGCTAATTACGAAAAATCAATGATCAAAAATGCCGTAAATATGTCACAGTACTCAGTCAGTCAGTTATAACGTAGGACCAGGCAAACATATGCATCGGTCCAAGTTGCCACACCTCATTAGCACAGCAAGACGAACATCGGATTCATAGAAGCAGTTAACTCAATGGTGTAATATATAAAAAAAGATTTTATGTAAGAATATGATACAGGGAGAAAGAATTAGTTCGCAGAAAGAAAGATATCAAGCATTTTTAATATCATAGTTTAAGGAAAGATAGAGTGTATACACCTACACCATTGTGATCGATTCTGAGCCATGTCACCCAGAGTCTCCAATCATTGGTTACGATAGTCACGCGGACCCCAACCAAGTAGCTGCATCTACCAACATGGCTAATACTAGAAGAAAGTGACTTCAGGCACTAATGCCACGTTTAAGTTTATGTCACAGTACTACGAAATCCTAAGCAATGTTTCACGTAACTGTCCAATACTATTCCAAGGGAAATGAATAACTAGTACTAGTTCATATAAAAAATGTTGATCATTTTAAAACTTCACTGTGACCGTGTAGTTGGGACATTTAAAGGTCAATGTCATGAAATGAACTAAGTCAAATTTTAACCAATAAGTTCATATTGTGAATTCCACTCTACCTACTAAAGTGGCAACGCACTATCATAAGCCCACTTACAATAAATATGGCTCATGTACCACTACAGGAAAATCCATGTGGTTCCAGAGTTGGGTTAAACTGGTGATCTTATTAAACCTCTGAGTTATCAATCTCAAAACTCTTTCTCTGAAGACATTTAGGGAAATTGGATAAAACAGATTAACATATCAATAAAAAATATCAATTATCATGGTACAATTTACATTTAATATTGCAGTATACATACCATATAGATTAAACGGATTTGTTCAGCTGCCCATTTAGCTAACTGTCGATTTTTATCTGTACTGGACAGTGATGATGCCTGAACTGGTGATACAGTATTTAAACTATTAACTTGTTGTTGTTTAGGTGATACTTGATTTATATTTAATCGACTACTCTGATTATTATGATGATTGACATTGATGCCAAGATTATCATCAATAAGACTTGAATAAGTGTTTCCAACAGATGGTCCATTGTGTAGTTTATTCTCTGTTGTTAACGGTAGCATCTTAATTGATTTTGATAGATGATTATCTAAAGCGGAGCATGTCTAAAAGCGAACATAAAGAAATAAAAACGGTTGGAAAAATGTTGAAAATCGGGGTGAACAGGAAAAAACCAACAAAAAAAAGAAATAGAACACGTTCTTTTGTTTGACAACATCTGTGTGTCAAGGACTATCAATACATACATGACTGCTGAATGCATAGAAAATTCGAGGGAACGCACAAAAGAATGAGAGTTGTGTTGTGGAGATAATGCACTGAGAAAACAGATCTTTTAAGGCAGACTTAACAATTCATTAGGAGTCGTGATCATAGCAAGCTAAACTCAAGATGAGGACGTCCATCAACGTATCGTGTTTATGAAAATACTGAATACGAGTGGTTTCTTGTGCCTGGATAGTTGATCATAAATTGAGTTTGGGAAAAAATTTGTCTGTGTACAAAATTCTAGCAAAACATGAAATGACAAAATAGGCTAAAGAGTATAATTTCTAGGGTTGCTGAAAACATTGTTACAGAAATGATACAAATGTACTACTGTCATACATGAGAAGTAGGTTGTTATCTATATTCAATGAAGAAAAAATTATACTGATTTACTGTTTGGATCCAAGATGTAAAAAAACATACAGCTTAGGTCGATAGATCAAATGAACTAACTAATGAGTATAATATCTAGCCCCCAAATGCCCTGGTACGGCCGAGAGTGGGGAGAGTCACCACTCTCTTTCAAAATGCTTTCACATGGACACATGTATAAGTTTGGTCATTGTAAGGATTTGTCGACAGAGTGTACCTATGGCATACAGAATTGAACTTATAGTCAAATGGAAACTTAAATATTTTTGAGTTACTTTTCAATGAACAGTTAGTCAATCAGTCAGTCGGACGCAATATAGGACATAGCATATATTTGTATCCAATCAAGTTCCGAGACTCTATTGTCACAGAAAGATGGAATTTTTAACGCAAATCCCACAATGATAGACGTAGTAACACTACTAGCAATGATAGAAAAGATTAGGCATCGAAGATACGATTCGAGAAGTAAATATAAATGAAATAAAAAATAGTAAATTTATGAAGACTTTACAGTGCTTAAAATGTGAAAGAAGATCAAGAGTGAATACATCTGCACCATTCTGAGCCACTGGTTACAACAATCACGCTGAACCCGTCGCTCAGTCTCAAAGTCCGTCTTCATGGATCGATTTCATGTCTTTATTAGGATGAGTCTAGCTTTTTTTAAGCTACTCCTCTAACACCAGGAAACACCAATAGACGAAATAGTCGGTAGATAGGGGCATGGAAATATACATCCCAACCACACTTCAGTCCATAAACATTTACTACCTAGTCAATCGATTTGTCATATTTATCTAGTACTTCGCATGTAACCTCAGAATTGCTCTCTCCACAGTCCCGAAATATGCGACCACTCGTTCGAAATATCTATGATCGAATACTAATAATCAAAGGATATCCTCTGTTTTTAATAGTTACATTTCACATGTTCAGAGTAGAACGGAGAGAACTGTTGCACAGTAAACTTGTCATTTAGTTTGGAAATGGATATCTCGTCTATGATACAAGTGATGCATGTTGGCAAAATCGAAGGGAACTTTTTAAATTCGTGCCGACATCTCGTCAATCACTAACTCCAAGATAAGTGAAGCGGTCAACAAATGAGGTATGAAAACCATAATTGCCTATCTATTCCTTATGATATTGGCCATAATCCAGAACATAATGTATATTTAAATATTTTAACAGTCATAAGTAGATTCTTTTATCAAAAATCAGGATGTAACATAAAGAAAAGACAGTGATCACTATAAGACTATGCAATGAAAGCAAATTATTAATTAAAATGAGGTCAAGATATAGAACGTAACCGGAGATTCATAATAGAAGTCAGGCGTTTAGTACAACCACTTAAGAGGGAATCACATGTACAGTTATAAACATACCCAGTAAAAATCATTCTAAGGTACATTTTAGTTCATTTATTCAATGAGTGGTGAATTTCAGAGCATAATTTTTATTGAGAGTATCATTTCAAGATCTAATTTCCAGTTTATTTGCATTCTTTATCTGGAAAGTTGAAATACACTACAGTGATAGCGTGTTTACAGAAGACATATGTAGGTAGGTACCTTTAGATAATTAAAGTGGAGCCTGAAGTGAAAATTACAGTTTTATATACAATACTGATAGACCAAATCAACAGGAAAATGTTCAGCAATGCTAGATATCACATTTTTATTGAACATCGAAAAAGGATGGTTATTCTTATACGTTTTATCGGGATTTTATGACTGGTTAGCTACTGTTAGAATTAAAAATAGAAACCATACATAGATGTCTGGAACAACCTTCAGAACTACCAGTACTGAAAATGTAACACTAATGAAATAACATAAACTGAACATGATTAAACTAATAGATTTGTCTAGTTACAAAGATTTGTTTCTATGATGGGTAAGAGTGGATGTTAACTAGCCATATTTTAGCTTTATTTTTCACCGTGATTGCTTTTGTGTATTATGTGATAAACGAATTACATTTATAGTATTATAAATCGATTGTACGATTATACTAGGCTTTTTCTTCCAAATAAATGATATATCAAATGAGGCTAGATAGATCGCATGCTGTATCAATGTGACACTGTAAATGGGCGGTTAATGGTGAATGATTGAACTATTCACCTAGTCAAAGGTTCTACTCACATGTTCCAGACTGGATTAGTTCGACTATTAGCAATAAAGCTTCTTATGTAGCATTTAGTTTCTTCCTTTGTATAAATGAGTTGATCTGGTGTCGGTGTATGTATTAACGATTAGATCAGACCGAAATAAACACAACAGTACTTGGCGTTGAATAAAAAAAAGCAAAAATCGAAACATTCAATACGTCGAATAAAAAACTCTTGACTTACAAGTAGAAGTCCGTATAAACTACGAAGGTTATTAGGGCACAATAGGCAAGCTTGACTATAATAAGCTCTGGCTAATTCTAAATTTTCTGTTCCACCTTCAGTGTATTTAATCTGAAGAGGTAATGAAAAACGAAACCAAATATACAGAATGAACATGTTCAAAATTAGCTTTGATTTAGTTTAATGTATTAGGTATTATACAGTCAGTTAGTCAGCTACAATGTAGGACGAGGCACATATAAATATGCATTGGTTCAAGTTTCCATACGTTATTAACACAACAAGATGAACAGAAATAGAATAATTTGACATAAATAACAGAATTAATGAACAGTTCTATTTTTTGCTTCCAGTTCAAAACAATAACAGTTAAATACATTTTCCATCTCGTATATCTTAAGCCCCCAAATGCCCTGATACGACCGAGAGTGGGGAGAGACATATCTCCTTCTGAAAATGTTCTCACATGGCCACATACATACAACCACTGCCACACAAGTTCTACTCACTGCCTTCTCGCGGCATTACCGTTGCTTATGAAATTGAGAGAACAAAAAGCAAATGTCCTGCGCTTTAACCGGTCGTACTCATAATCCGCACTCTGTAGAGTTGTAGAAGACATCTAAGTTATAGGAAGCGTCTACGAAGTCAGTAATAAGCATTCCAGTAAGAGACCTGTCAACTGTATGCGATACACATTGTTTCGAAAGATGGTCGCGCAATATCGCGTATTGATTGAAGCTCGATATTAACATCGTCGGATCCCGACTTCGTGGTCTAGAGGCTAGGCGTTCGCGCGTGAGACCGGAGTTTAAGTTCTATGTAAGAAGTGCTGAAGAGTCCCACTCTAGAACTAAACGGCCATCCATTACTCTCAGGTTTTCAATGGTGGTCGATCGATTGGTTCATGATCTCAGTGAAATACATTTATTGCCACCAAATAACAGGTAGTACTAACCACAGAAGTGAACAATGTAAAAATATCCAAGATATATTCTGATAAAAAAACAATCCAAAGAATCGGATTTCATTACCGACTACAAATAGTAGAAATCATTTGAAACTAATCCCTATCAAAGTCTGAATCCACTGAGTCAGTTGAAAACTGGAAGTAAAATTAGTAACCTACTATTTAACATAGTGAACGCATAACTAGCAATACGTTCTACCCTACAATTTTCACTGATAGTAAGGTAATAAGAATCTAAATTCTAAACCAAATGACTAGTTTGATTTTCAGCCTTCAATCAGTAATTTAAAAGTTCTGATCCTGTCCCAACCAATTCAGTGTAAATGGGTGGATAGTTTTAGAAATTCCTAGACAGTGTGGAATCAAACTCAAGTGCGCAAACCCGTACTTAGTAAATGAACACTATAAAAAGTCACAACGATAGTAACAATAGTTAGATATTATGTTTATACATAATATTTGCAGATAAATTATACCATGAATTGACTATAGCCAAACAACTACTGGAAATTAGGGGGGGATGGGTAGCTGTTTCATGGTGGATCGGAACTCGTCAGCAGTACGCATGTACCACCCTGCCAGGGACTCAAACAACAATTAATCCTCGTGGCAAGCACCTTAACTCTCAACATTTACATCTTTTCAAAAAACTACCAAGAATTCTTCTTTTGGTTGCTAGTGAGCACATGATTACTATCAGTGTAAAGTATTTGTGCAGTTAAATATGTTCAGGACATCTGGATCAAACACAAAACATGATGACCTCTAATTAAATAATATAGTTACTAGTTTTCAAAATGAATAAATTAGTCATTTTTAGGATATCAGAGCAATAAGACACTTCAACGAACACATTGAAGTAACATTCTATCAAAAGTAAAAGATATTTTACATTTAAAGAGATCAAGAACATTTCTTTCGAAAAAAATATTGTGTTTAAGATGAACTCACCAAAAACAGCAATATTGACACTTTCAACGGATCAACAACTGTATCGACATACAAATTTGCTATCCAAAATTGAAACTCTTAATAAGATCGTTTAGTGTATTAAAACACTTTTGTACAGAAATCCATAACTGATCAAAGCTTGGCAAGTTACGAGAAATAATCAGAGTGCTGGAAAATTTTGAAGTTAAAACTGAAACGGAAACTCTTTGAAAGAGTAACACTAGTGGTACTTTATATGAATTTGAGGAAATCGCTAATTAGTTTGCACATGATTCCCTTATTTATGATGAATAATTAATCCAAGGATTTTATTTATTCCTAGAAACGCACCTAAACTTCATGTCAAATTATGAAACAAGAATGATTAGACATGAACTATGCAGCTAAAACCGACAACCAGATAAACTTACCTCAGCATAACGTTGATAATAGAGATGATTAGAAGGATTAGACAAAATCATTTCTTCCATACAAAACGCAGCGTGTTTATAGTCACATTCTGATAGATAAAGGTCAGCTAATTCATTCCATGCTTCAAAATCGCTCATAAAACTATACGGAAACAAAAAGATATTTGAAATAACAAATCATTTTATTTTCTTAAACATTGTTTTAAGACTACTTAAATGAATTTAAGTAGACTAATACTTTGAAAGTATATTAAGTATAGATGCCGAGATAGTTTAATTAGTACGTTTAAACCTGTTGAAATGTTGGTAAATCATAATTAATATATAACATTTTTTGACGTCCCATTTCAGTAGTTAGATTCACACCCTGATACGGCTGAGGGCGGGGAGATTCTGCTCTCCCTCTCCAGATGCTCTCACATGGCCACGTGCGTAAAACTACTGATATACAAGTCCTACTCACTGCCTTCTCTCGTCAGGGGTGTTGTCTACGAAATTGAGGACGAAAAGCGAATACCCGGTGCTTTAACCAGGTTGGTGGAAACGGTGGGTCCACCTAGAGGAGTTGGAACACCTATATTGCAAACCAATGGTGTACAAAGGCTCCAGGATCCTGAGGAAACAGATGGATTATGAACCTATTGTTGATCACCGGCTACCATGGTACTGAATCTCCTGACGTTGTTCCACTGCATTGTGGATCAAACTATTATGTCGGAGGCTGTGGTGCCCCAAGAAAACCACCTGCTTCAGTTTGGGCACCCGAGTAATATTACAGCCCTTACACATATCAAATGAGACCTGTGTGGCGCATATGTATTCGGTGCACCTTTGTACCAATGTCTATGTGTTCAAATAAATAAATAAAAACTGTGTAACCAAAAAAATTCAACAAAACATAGAGAAAACACAAACCTTTACTTACGACAAGGATATCATTTAAGTTTGGAAACAAACAATCAGTTGTTATGCAATGCAAATTATAGAATCTATCGTGGCATCAGTGCTTGAAGTCACTAACTTCTAGTCTTAGCCATGTTGGTAGATACAGACTACTTGGTTGGGGTCCGCGTGACTATCTTAATCAATGGTTGGAGACTCTAAGTGACATGGCTCAGAATCGATCACAATAGCGTCGGTGTATACACTCTCTGTCTTCCTCTAAACTATGAGATTAAAATCGCTCCATATTTTTCTTTCTACGAACTGATTCTTTCTTCCTGTACTATATCCTTATGTGCAATCTTTGCTTTATATATTAACATCACTGCATTAACTACTTTTATGACTCCGGTGTCCATCTTGTTGTGTTATTGAGGTAAGGCAACTTGGAACGATGCATATATGTGCCTGGGTCCTACGTTGTAGCTGACCGACTGATAGAATCTATCTATCTATTTCATTGTCAAACTCATTTTTTTTTATAAAATCACAATATTTAAAAATCTACATGCTTAATAAATCGGATCAATAAAGAATCCGTTATCACTATGACTGGATAGTAAATTATTATTTTATTTCATTTTTTCTCTCAACAACAACAGCAACAACAAAATCCATCCAAAGTTTATTGTACAAAGGTCATAACAACGAGAAACAAAACAACAACGTGAACAAACAAAACATAATTTATAGTTAGAGAAAAAAACAGTCTATGTTAACTGGAATAGGTAAATGAACCATTACGAGAATAATAACGCAATTCTTACAACTCATTAATAACATTCAAAGAAATTTGAAGATAAATTATTACAGTTCTACAATTATCACTAGTACGTAGTACTGATGTATCGCAGTTTACATTCTCAATTTGGTGGAGCTCACATATAATTACGACATTTCATAATGAATTAAGAAGAAAAATTCCTTTAAAATCATACAATCCAACACAAAAACAAAAATTAATTAACGATATTTTAAAACCGCCATTCATTGCTTAAGGTGAATAATTGTAACATATGCGGCATAGTTGAACACCAACAGTCATGGATTCTCACTAGAATTCCTGGAATGATACTTTAAATTTAGTCATTAATGAGCACATGTTTATTATTATAAGGTTTGGTGAATGCGCAGGGCCAATCAGAGTTCTAGACTGTTCACATGTGTTTACGCCCTTGTACGGCCGAGAGTGGGGAGAGTCCGCTCTCTCTCTCCAGATGTTCTCACATGGCCACGCGTATATAGCCTCTACCAGGAAAGTCCTACTCACTGCCTTCCCTCACCGGGGTATTGTTCACGAAAATGAGATGACAAAAAGCAAATGTCCGGTGCTTTAACTGGATTCCAAACCAATGGTGCACATCGGCTCCAGTATCCTGCGGGAACAAATGGCGTATGAACCAATTGTTGGTCACCGGCTTCCATGGGACTGCATCTCCTTACGATGCTCTACTGCCTTGTGGATCAGACCTTCATGTCGAAGGCTCGGGGAGTGGCCCCCTAAGAAAACCACCTGCTTCAGTTTGGGCACCCGGGCAGTATCACAGCCCTCACACATATCGAATGAGATTTGTGTGGCGCATATGTATTTGGTGCCTCTTTGTACCAATATCTATGTGGTAAAATAAAAAAACGCGTCATTGGATCGATCGATAAAGTCACTACTTTCTAATAAGCGGTCACACGTTATAACAACACTGTTATGAACTCTCCCATACTAGAACGAAACAACTGTCCAGTGCTTCTAGGTTTTTAATGGTAGTCCAGCTAAGATTAACTTATGATTTGAAAATTTTGAAAATTCTACAACCACAACAAAAACTCTCCTACACTAATCACAAAAAATAATAATAATTGTCAGTGAAAGCAAACAGATTATTAGCGAGACTATAATTAATGGACGAACCAATCACGTATAAGATAACAGGTCTTGGATTTTGGCGCGAAATTCACTCATCCATTTGGTTAAATAGAGTCTTGGCATTATAGCTAATATCAGTTCGTGATGAAAACCTTAAATCTAATTCCTAACCTTAACCATCAATTATAAATCATAATCCAAATTCTTCACACCAATGTATAACCCTCATTTGGTCCTAGTTATCAGGTAAACATTCACAAGGTCAGTATAGCGTCTCTCAAAAGTGATCCATAGATTATAGTCTCACCAGATTATTTGGTTCATATCATGAAAGATTTTAGATATAAAATTCTAATAATTTCTATAGTAGGAGGAAACAACTGCTCATCAGTTTATCATTAACTATGTATTAGTTATTAGTGAAACAAAAAACACAGTTAATCTGGAAGGAGAATATGTAAACGGAGTACAATATTCAAACTACAATGTGATCAAAGCGTTAAAAGAAACAAGCGTTTCAGTGTTATTCTACTCAACAAAAACCACAACACTGTTTCAATTTATAAGGGATATAAACCCTCTTATGACAATCACTAAAGAATCACTTTTACTAAAATTGTATCTAAAATCTGAACTTCAATAATAATCTGATGTATAACTAGAGTTTGTGCAGAGTAAACCTAAGAAAAACAGGCTGGTTACAAACGTAGATTTATACCAAATCTTTATCATACAGCAGGTTATGGGACGCATACATAGTTGTATTTCTTGATCTAAATCCACCCATTCGAATTTGTTGATCGAAAGGTTCAGTGGCGGTGTCTTTAAATGAAAGTAAATTGTCCTTGCATAGATCATTTACTGGAAAGCTTATGGTTGAGAGAGATATTATGGTGAACTGTGATCAAGTAATTTTCGTCAAACTGTTCACTTTCTCTATTTTTACTTAAATCTGTCATCGACATTCTGTTAAAGATAATGATCTAATCGTCTCACTTTTCCGGAGTTATGATTCACTTGTTAACTTATAATACACGCGTAACACAGTCCTGTTTGGTGAAGACGTTGGAAAAACGTAGTCTTCTGGCCAGCTTGGGGAACAATATAAGCATGCTTGGGATGCGCTTATTTCCATCTAAATATAAAATGTTGCTTCAGGACTGGTTTGGATCAACACCTAAACTAATGATAGGAAGTATAGATCATTTCATCTTGGAAGTCTCATCACTCCTGATGAGTTAGTGACTGACGAGATGTTGGCACGACTTTAAAAAGTTCCCTTCGATTTTGCCAACATGCATCACTTGTATCATAGACGAGATATCCATTTCCAAACTAAATGACAAGTTTACTGTGCAACAGTCCTCTCCATTCTACTCTGAACATGTGAAATGTAACCATTAAAAACGGAGGATATCCTTTGATTATTAGTATTCGATCATAGATATTTTGAATGATTCGTCGTGTATTTCGGGACTGTGGAGAGAGCAATTCTGAGGTTATATGCAGAGTACTAGATAAATATGACAAATCGATTGACTAGGTAGTAAATGTTTATGGACTGAAGTGTGGTTGGGATGTATATTTCCATGCCCCTATCTACCGACTATTTCGACTATTGGTGTTGTCTGGTGTAATAGGAGTAGGTTAGAAAATAGCTAGATTCGTTCAAACTAAAACATGAAATCAATCCATGAAGACTGACTTTTCAACTGAGCCCTCGGAATCGTTCACAATGGTGCAGATGACTTCATTTACTTTCATCAGAATCTGAGTTCAGAACTCTACTTACATATTTTGTTCTCTACACTTAATCTTTTCCACTAATACTATTGATACTGTTATTGCTTCTACTACTCTTGAATTTGTCTTGAAATAATTTGAAACGCTTTGATAATTTGGTACGTTCCATATGACATAATAATTAATATGTAGTTATATATATATATATATATATATATATATATATATATATATATATATATGTTTTGTTAGAACTTACATTTTTAAGTATTCTCTTAATTCATTAATGGCTTCGGGTATTTTCTGTTGGGCTATTAAAATTGTAATCATTCGTTTACGGGCCAACTAAATGAAATTAACCCAAAATGAAAAAAAGTATGCACATTGAATAATAATAATAATAATAATAATAATAATAATAATAATAATAATAGTGTTATTATATACAAAGCTGAAGGCATATATATATATATATATATATATATATATATATATATATATATATATATATATATAACACACACACACACTTGAAGTCTACGCCGGACATTACCCGTCACAATACCTCATATTATCAAAATTAAGAAAACAAAACACGTTAAGTACAACTTAATATATAAATTGTCATCGATACAATCATACGACATAAGGTAACAATAATATCTATCTGATTTATCTATTCACTTAATGATAACTGTGATATATTGCAAATTGTGCTTAAATATATCTAATCCATTATTCAAATGAATTAACACAAGCACGAACTGGTGATAAGTGGAAAGTGAACAATTTAGAAATAGATTTTTATAGCAGATGAGTTATCACTTTTGAGATAATATTTAAATGAGAAGAACATACATGAGCAAAAAGATGGTGGAGAAGATTTTTAGATCAGATGGATGATTTTGATAGAGTTTTGTTCTGAGTTGGATAGTTTGCGCATAGAGCTTTTATCGTTTTTCTGAACGATATCATTAGCACATTTATTTATTTATTTTAACACATAGATATTGGTACAAAGAGGCACCAAATACATATGCGCCACACAAATCTCATTCGATATGTGTGAGGGCTGTGATACTGCCCGGGTGCCCAAACTGAAGCAGGTAGTTTTCTTAGGGGGCCACTCCCCGAGCCTTCGACATGAAGGTCTGATCCACAAGGCAGTAGAGCATCGTAAGGAGATGCAGTCCCATGGAAGCCGGTGACCAACAATTGGTTCATACGCCATTTGTTCCCGCAGGATACTGGAGCCGATGTGCACCATTGGTTTGGAATCCAGTTAAAGCACCGGACATTTGCTTTTCGTCCTCTCATTTTCGTAAACACCCCGGTGAGGGAAGGCACTAAGTAGGACTTTCCTGGTAGAGGCTATATACGCATGGCCATGTGTGAGCACAAAGTTCAGATGAAAGCTCTACGACTAAACTATCCAGCTCAAAGAATAAAACTCCATCAAAATACGAGCATAGTATTAGTTCACAATAAAATGTGAACCCAATGGGTTATTTCACATTAAAACCCGACATTATCTACTTTCGATTCAAGTGGACTCGATAGCAATAGTATTAATATAGTCTACAAATCTTAAAAATGCACCACAAAAAAAAACAGTACAAAACCTTGTACTGGGTAAATGAATTACACTACTATATTGATGATTTAGTTATTTGGTTCGTTTGTTCATTGAGGTCTATTCTTTGTATACAACATTACTTTGTAACATTGTTTATAAATGAATAACGCACATCAAACGTATTTATTCTGGAACAGTGAAACTTAAACTTGATACTTCCATTGACCAGCTCTCTTATTCTTCATTCAAGATTATCAAACAAATTCATATATCTAGGAGCATTTTGAATCATACTAATAAACGATGATAATTAACTTATTAAAGTTTCTGTGAGACTATAATTTACGGACGAACCAATCACGTATAAGATAACAGGCCTTGGATTTTCACGCAAAATTTATTCATCCATATGGTTAAATAGCGTTTTAGCACTTTAGCTAAATCTAATTCCTAACCTTAAGCATCAGTTGTAAATCATAATTCTAATTTCTCACATTGGTTCATAACCGTCATTTAGTCCTAGTTAGTAGGTGGATATTCTCAAGGTCAGTCCAGCGTCACTCAAAGGTGATCCATAAATTATCGACTCACATAAGATTCTAGCAATAATATTTTAAACATGAAGCAGTACAAATCTGATCATTTAATAAATGATCATCGGTTGATTTCAATTACTTAATTGGAAGTCAACAAAACCTGAAGGTCTTGTTCGTTTCTTCTTAAAAGTATAAGGTATTAATACAACAGATAGTTTAAAATATTTCTCTTTCTATCTCTTTCAAGCGTAACTATGATAATACGTTAATACGATAATAAGACTAGTCACGTTATATCAAATCCGGCACTAAAAATAGAGAACCAGATTATCACTAAATACTACTTTATTCAACATGGTTACAAGCAGTTACGCTCGGTGAGTTCAGAGTAGAAATAACATTTAATAGTCAGTAGGCTAAGCACATGTTTGTCTACGATCAGTAATCAATCATGTTTCACTTTCACTACCATACATCAAGGATCCATCAATAATCAGTTTCAAAAGAAAATAAATTTGAATGTTCTGTGCATCTTAGTCTTTAGCTTCACATCTTATATGATTCAACTTGGTGACAGAAACTATCAGTTCCATTAGGTGAACGCAGTTTAAAGAATAATATATTCATACAGGTTGATTAAATTACAGCTAACAATTAAAAATGCTGTAAAATTAGAAAGTTAAAATAAGTTCAATACTACAAATGCTCTACTGTATGTATATGGAGAACTAAACATCCACAAATACTACTTACTGTATTGGTTGGATCATCTTTTATGAGTTTTGTGTACACATTTTGAGCATCTTCGAAGCTTGTGTAAACAAAAAAGAAGTACATATTCACACAACCAGGAAAAATGTTTTACTTAACAAATAAAAACATTTCAATATCATCATATAACATTATAATCAGTCATAAACCATGTAGCGTCAACCATCACCTCATTTGAGGACAACCATCCTTTTTTCGATGTTCAATAAAAGTAAGATATCTGGTATTTCTTAGTACCTTTCTGTTCACTTCGTGGGTAAGTCCTGGATATAAGAGCACAATTTTCATTAGGGATTTCATTCGAAACATCTAAAGCTATCTACATATTTGTTTTATGAAGACCCCACCAGAGCGCATCTTAACTTGCCGGATGAAAGAGTAAGGAAACTGAAAATATGAGCTTAAAATGATATCCTCAGTGAAAGTTATGCTCCTACACGCAGCACTAACATATTAATTGAATGGAAAAGTACTCTAGAATGCTTAATATTACACACATATTTGTTATGTCCTCTGGCCCACCAAATACCATGTGACAAGATCGCCAATCAAAATACTGACTTATATGACTTTGTCTGTGCTAAATCAGTGATGTGGTGACCAGCACGAATAGCCTCGAGTCAACTCAGAGTCCTTATTAGTCTTCTGTATAGTAGCTTCTCGCCTAGCTCAGCCCGTTCAGTCCAGAACACCAATCTCAGCGTCAGTGATATGAATCATGTATTTCGAATATACTGGGTTTATATCCAAACCAAACAGACCACATCGCACCACAAAATAGAAAATATACATTTGTACAAGATCTAGCCAAAAGTGGCTGTCAATATGGGAGACTAATTAATAGACTGAGCATAACTCGAGAACGCCAAAACGTATAATAGTTTATAAGTCAAAGTAAACTTTATAACAGGAGGATAGATACACATAATCTGACTACTGAATAGTTATAGATTAAGAATATACGTATAATACTTGTCCATAAATGGATCTCAAAAGTTACCATTCATAATTCTCGCCAGGATATAACAACGTGTCTTATCTTATCAACTCTCAAACGGACATTTAAATTAATTTACAATTGAAGCTCAACTGAATAAAAATCAATCATCTTTAACTTATTACTAACTTGACACAATTAATCCATGGTTAAGTTGTGTATACTCTTAAATAATTATAAAAAAGTAAGATGGATTTATGAACAGATCGGTTACCTTCAATAGTTATTCAAGCTTCTTGTTAGACTTTACAATTACTATGAATAAACTACAAAATTTTGTCAACGATATCTTGAATGATGACATGATTTATAGAAAATACTGAGCATTTTGTACTTCTTCACTGACACATCACTCACTCTATTTCTGCTCAACAATAAATTTTAGTGCACGAGAGAAATTAATGGCATATTTCGATAGCAACCAAGAGATGGATGCTAACAGATTATATTATACTACTTGTCTAGAATTATATAAAAATATTCTCATAGTTGAAAATATTCTCAAAATTAGTGCACAGAGAATCCAGTAGCCCCCCTCTCAAAAGAAATTCTTTCAAACTCATTGTCTCATTAAAAAATAAGAGAATTGTATACAGAGTTATGGAAGAATGACAAACGATCTGTACGAGAAAAAGGGAACAAACACATGGACACATAAATAAAGACAACGTGTCAATCAAGATCCAAAAAGCATTATTGATCCACTTACTTTCCTTTACTTTCTAAGTACATACCAAAAAGACGATTAACACGACAACTATTACGAAATTTTGCCAAAAGACGATCAAGACATTCCTATAAATTTGTACATTAACAAGAAGACATATATTTTAGACATATTCTAACTTCTCTAATAAAAAGAAACTATGCTGTTTTAAATGAAAAACGGGAATACGGATACACAATGACTCGAAGTAAATTTAGAAGTAAATAACACAACAATTCGCTTTTGTAGGAAGTTCTGTTCTACCTAAACGGCTCCAGGTGGCTGAATGGTCAATTACAAGGGTGACATCATCAAATACGAAATGTGAAAACAACTTCCCTAAAGTCATTTGTGAGAATTGAACTTGCCTCTTTCAACGTTGGAACTTTGATGAGAATCGGACAACAGAGAGGTTTGGTTGTTTATTCGGAAATTTTTAGTATAGACTTTTGTTATTTCTCTGATACTCGCATTCAAGACTCTATTGAGGCATCACAATTTCGTTCTCCATCCGTCAACCACAAACGTTAGCTTCATGTGAACATATTAGGGGAACCTGTAATCTTGGTATCCGCTTTAGTTAGTACTGGTTTCACATTACGTTAACATAACGAATCCCCACTTACAGCCATACACTTAGCCTCACTAAACAAATACAAAGAGGCAATGCAACATACTCTTCAAATATCTGGAGACATAGCAGCAACTTTTCTTCGTCAAGCACTTCTTGAATGCATTCCCGTTGACAGTCGTTGATGTGCTGTCCGTCTTAATGGCACAGTAAGATATCGAAAGATAAAGACATAAGCTGTTGTCTCTTTATCGCTTTTTGCCCATGCCAAGGACAACTGGAGCTCGGATGAAGTGAAAGATGAGTTTCACAAGCTTTCTAACACCCTTCAGAAAGCACGGAGATAAGACGTGGTAACTGTGTTGGATGATTTTAACGCCTAAGTACGTAGAATAAGTCAAATTGGAAAGTACTTAGATGGGTCTTACGGAGTTCCAGTCCAACAAACAAAAAGTGGTGACCGTCTATTAGCAAGTGCGAACTTTAAGCATAAGGACAGACAATATAACCTAGTAACCCCCAACATCAACACGATGGACACAAATAAACCATGCTGCTATTAGCCATCATTGGAAAGGATTTATAAAAAACTGCCGCCCCAAGTAGAGTAAATGGCCAAGTGACAAAACGCAATTCTATGCGCTTTATGATCATAAGAAAATCACAACAGGTAAATATTGATACAAAAGTGAAAAGTTCAACAATGAACTAAAGGAAGAATCAGCTAAGCGTTTGATCGATCAGAAAGCAAAATTTCATTATCAGGAAGCTTGACATGATAGTCAAACAACCGTAGGTACAAAATTGGTTTGTCATCAATGGAAACAAAAATGCTGGGAAAGATTGTTTGGTTTCGGTGGAATCTATTGAATGGTTAGATACCCGGAAACACATCTCAGCAAGCTCATAAAACGTTGAAAAAAATGACGAAGACTCCAACATACACTAACGTAATTAATAGTGGACAACAAAAGAGATGAAAAAGGCAGTGACCATACAAAACACTAAACAATAATTCCGACTCTTTAATGGAATATGTATTAAAAACAGACTGCGAATGGGACTATTTCAGAAAAAGGCGGAACCAGAATTCACTCTCAGTACAGACTATTAAAATACTGGTCAGAACGCTTTAAGGAATGTTCTAGCGATCCTCTAGCCACCCTTTAGTTATTCATTATTTTCAAA